TCATTTGGCCAACTTGTCTTATCCTTCACCCCAGAATATATAGGCAAACCAAAATCATGATTGTCAAAATATCAAATGAGATATTCTAACTTCACTTATATCTCTTTGGGTTTTGTTTGGTTTTTTTTTTTTTTGGTACCAGGGATTGAACTCAGGACCTTGTGCTCTGCGAGGAAGGCACTGAAACCACTGAGCTAAATCCCCAGCCCTTCTAACTTCACTTATAAAGCAAAAATAATTGACTTTTTGTTCTTTTGAAAGTATTAAAGTATTATAGTTACTTTTATAGTATAATAAGGACAGATTTCTCAAACATACCCTGACATTTTTATCAAGCTCAAAGCTAAAGCCTTGAACTACCTTTTCTTAGTCAATAGTGTATTAAAGTCAGTGACAGTTTGTCTAAACTTATTAATATCAACATGGCTTGTCTGTTTAATTATCAAAGATGTCTTATATACTTTAAAATGATACATAGAGAACATACATATACAAATTCATACAGGCATAATTTATTAAAGTAGATTTAAAATGAACTATTACCTTGGAATGTAATCTTAAACTTTTTAATGGTTAAAGGAGATTAAGTTGAATTACACTGACACTGTATAAAGTAATGGTAACTGATGGTCTGAATCAGTCTCTAATTACTTCTTTTCCACTTTGAAAACACGTCATACATGGAAGCTGGTAACTATTTGCATACTGTTGGCAGCCTGATGATTTAGGACCTTGATCCCATGACTTCTTTTCTCCCTGTCTGTACAGCTGTGAAAGTGTTTCTTCTAAGTATGTGCTGGCAGAGTCAGACCTATCATGTTCATTCCCCCTCGTTTGTTTTTGGGATTATGTATCTTCACAGAAATCTGCATGCAAGTTAACCATTTTCCAAAGCAGAATCCATGTTTGCATGTCACAATCAAAATGTACATGGCAATCTAAGACACACTGATTGATATGAGTAAGTACAGAGCTGCTCTAAATTATAGTAACATTTCTTAGGAGTTTTGAAGCAATTTTCCCTTTGTTTTTAAAGTGGCTGAGGTTGTAGGAGTGTGTGGTTATCTATCATCTTTCAAATGAATTCTAAAATTGCCTTAGAAGTTTATTTAAAAGGCCAAGACCTTTCAAATCCTGAGGATGATCGTATATTAATAAAAATAGCAAAAATAAAATTCTTGTCATATTAAAAAAAATGAACACATGCCAGGCATGGAGGAACACTCCTGTAATCCCAGCATTTGGGAGGCTGAAGCAGGAGGATCCCTGCGAGTTCAAGCCCAGCCTGGGCTACATAGTGAGACTCTGTCTCAAAACAACAACAAGAAAAGATAACACTCAAAAAAACCACAAATTAATCTTTAACCTCCACCCTTATGAAGAAATGAAATCTTGACCGTGTGCTGGATATGTACCCCCTTGCCATCGGCACCAGGTGACCCCTATCCTGACTCTAACACTAACAGAATCATTCACCAGGCCTGAACTTAGGTAAGTGGGACGCTGGAGTCCACATCCCTTCCTCTCGGGCTTGCTGGCTTAGCGTTTGTGAGACTCTTCCCCTGAGGGTGACAGAACGTCATCTGTGTTCACTGCTAGAATCCTCCATTGTGTCAACTCAG